CTGAACTGATCTTGAAAATGTTCCGCCCGACGAGCCATACGGCGCTCCTTATTGTGTATCCGTGCACACGCGCTGTCTCTGATTGTTTCACTGACGCCTGGTTTTCTGGGACCGGTGGTGCGGATTAGCTGGAAGAGCTTGCGATAATTGCGTACTGCTCCTGCCTCCTCCATTTCTTGAGCCCTACTGGTCCACCAAGCTTCATTGTCAGCACGTAGGCTCCGCTTTAGTTCGCGCCTAATAGCCCGTCTGGTCACATTGTGTTCAGAGCCAGCCGGGAGGTGTCTTCTAGATTCCAACGGGTTAACCGATCTCTCGGATATCCAGTGACTAGTGTGGTGACGATTGATAGTGCCACAAGCAGATGCTCCTGCGTCTTGCATGGTGGCCGAGATCCTATTCCACTGAAGCTCGGTGCCATTACAACAAGACAGTTCGGTATATAGTGCGTCTTAATAGGCTTGCCTGATCGTGGGCTGAGACAATTTCTCCGTCGCCAAACGGATTAGACGCTTAGTGCGCCTCCCGGTAAAGTTCATGGAGAAACGACAGCGTACCAAGGCATGATCAGAGTCGACGCAGGTACTCCAGTACGAGCGGCAATCCAGGATGGAACCTCGCCACTCTTAGCTTCTAGGAATTTGATCTATTTGGGCCCATCGCTATTCATCTACAAAAGGACGCCAAGTGGCATTTAAAAGTCCACTGTGTCTGAAAGCAGTGTTAATAAGAAAAAGCTGGTGCTCCGTACACAGTTGCAGCAGACGTTCGCGGTTCTCAGTCCGTTCGGAGTTAAGCCCATAATTACCACCCCAATGAGCTTCTGAAGAGCTCAGACGCTCTACTTGTGCGTTCATATCCCCTGCAAGTACTATAATATCTGAACTAGTAGCACTGCGCATTAGCGTGTTCAGTTCGCGATAGAGTGTGTCCTTGGTAGTATTTGAACTGCGGTCGGTGGGAGCATAAGCGGAAATCACAAACAAACAGCGTATTGTACTACTTCGTGAATCAACCTTGGATGATGTCGTCAAACGGGCTGCACATAAACGGCTGTTCACCGGAATCCAATCAACCAACGATGGCTCAGCCTTGGAGCTTAGAATAATACCTAGACCAGCTTAACCCGTGAGTGCTGCATCGGCGTCTCCAGATGCGTGCAACCAATAACGAGAGGATAAGTCTGGTGCGGTTACTTCAACAGCCCCTTTATGGTCATTGGTCCTAGTTTCGGACACACAACACACATCAATACCCAGTGTGTCGAAAGTGCGTGCGAGTGCAGCCTGTTAACTTATTTGTCTTAGAGTACGAACCTTGAACGTCTCCATGGAATCTGGACATCGTGGCCTTATAAGGGACTTTTGCCGATAGGCGTCCGATAGGTGCTGTGGAGTAGTGGCTGCAGATGGTTCTCCATATGTTGCTGTCAATTATGCTGCGAATTATAGAAGGAAGGTTAGTAATGGGGGTCGGGATGAGAGTAAGAGAAACAGGTGGAGAAGGAAGAATGGAAGCGCCAGCATTAGCATGTTTTCGCCTGTCCACCCTGCTATATGCAGCAGATAAGGCGACCCTTGATAATTTGCGCGACGGCGGATGCAGGATGAATTTTATATTGGAAGAAATGGTCATGGTTGTATGTGGGCTGAGATACTGCCAGGGCGCCCAGACCTAGACAGGAGGACGATTATGATCCTCAACCAAAGCATTTGGCTCAAAAGCCTTTCCGAAAGTCAGCGGGAAGGTGGCAATAATTCAGTTTTACAGAAGTGGACGCCATCCAGTTTTAAACTCCTAGCTTGGAGGACTAGGAGACTGAGTTTGTCTGAACTCCCACCATTGACCAATCTGATAGGAGTAGCTCTCGAGGTGCTCGGAGGCACCACCCAGTATAGCTCAATGGGTCAATGAGGTACGCAAACCGTCGCACCACGTTGATCCAGTGTCGTTGCGACGGTATTAACCTCGTTTGGGTTTGGATGTCGAATTCAATGCCTGACGTTCTCTTTTCGGGCGGGGCGCTCTGCATGTCTGCCAAGAGTGTTTCGGATGCCGGAACTGCAGCAAGCCGCTATTTTCAGAGACGTGACATATGGGAGCTCCGTTGTTGGCATTCGGTTGTGTTAGCTGCATATAATTTTCATACCTGCACCTTTGTAGCAGGTGTTATTCCTCTTTTTAAATATCACTGTATTCCCTTGTTTTGATCATTTTATGTTCACTACATTTGGTCACCCGCTTTAGTGTCAACTTTTGTTGCTGTGTCTACTGTTCACTTGATCATCTCTGGGATGGGCAACCGCACCTTTGTTGGATTGGATCGCAGGATATGCGGCGTCGGTATTTGCAGACCGTATGACTTCGCTATTCCGTACGATATTACGCTCATCCTATTGACACTATCCGTATTGTTTCTATTCTTGTCTTACCGTGAAGCGGCAAATCATTACGTTGATTCCGCTTCGGTTTTCTTATTCTGCTCCTTCACACTGAATTGGGCTGGGCATTTCTGTTTGTGGCTGTTAAACGCTTATTTGCTCCATATTGTTCACAAGAAAACGAATTCACTCTGTTATTTCACTTCGTGCAGGCTACACCCATCCAGTTCCTCTGTGCTTGCTTTCCTTTTCCACAATTTCGTCCTTCTCCGCTGCTTTCCGCGTTGCTGGATAGTTCTTACATGTGTACTCACTTTTTGATGATAGTGCGCCTCGTTGGTGCAATGTTTTTCATGCGTATGCAGATTAGTAGAATCTACTAGTTTAACCCGATGTTTTTGCCAGTAACTGAATTGAATCGGCTTTATGCAACGAAAGCATCTGGTTAATTTCCACAAGATTCTTTCCCCTTGCCCGACGAACGCCTCTACAACTTACGTAGATATACCACAAACTGAATGCTCTTAGTTCAAGCCACATTTCTTATTTTACAGACTGCTTGTCCCGTTTCGCCGGCTACTTTGCAACACCCTTTTGTTCCGATTCTGTTGAGTTTTGATTTCGACATGTATGGGAATTTTATGAGGAACGATATCGTTCTCGGCCGAAATCACATTGTTGTTGGAAGATCTGACTTGAATGCCCATCTTTCTCATCACTGACAAGTGTGTCAGAGTGGAACATTTCAGTTGACAGAAAGCAACCTATGTTTTAATACTGGCACTTGATGTTTCGTATCGGAGGCACAACGAAGCCATCCAAGTTTCCGCTTCAACTCGGTGTTATCTGAGCTCCTCAGGCCCGCTAGGTGGTAATTTGTTTTTGGATTAGCTCTGAACGCACGGACGATGGCGAGTGTTTGTTGAAACTGTGCGTCGAACATCCGTTGTTTCTTTGCAGCACGGCCTTCAGACACTGTGGACGCGTATCTGCCGCTTGATCTCCTACTATAGCTTGTCAGCGATAGGCTCAAATAGACCACATCGCCATAAGCTTCTGATACCACAACTCCATCCCGGACTGTCAACCTTTCTAGAGCACGTGTGCCGACTCACTCTAGTTCTTTGTCGATTTTCCATAAAGCGTAACAAACCTTTCCGTCGATTGGTAGCTCCTAACCTATCACAATCCCCAGTCAGGCGAGACTGCCAGGATTCCCTACATACCAGGCTTTGGCTTCAGTGTAATGGTATCCCGGCCAACATTCACGACTCTGGAGCCGCTGTGATAGCAGGAGTGGTCATCTCAACAGTCACAGGATATCCAAGAGGCATTTGAACCTGTTGAAATTCAGAAGCTAGCCTATCTAGCCATGGGAGACAACATGTTTACGAGTTATAAGATCACAGCTCGATTGGCATGGAGCACGAGCTCCACCCATTGTCTCTGACAGTGAGAGGGCACCATCCGGTGCTTAATGGTTTGCTACCGCCTGCCTCATCCCAAGTAAGCCTTGGTCAAATTGGTGCAAACCCGCTAACTTCCACCTGCGGTTGGCCGTGATCGGAGGCGCGTAACGAACTGCGGCCGTAAAGCACAATCATTGTTCTAAGTCTTCAAGGACTGTGTGACAGGTCTCAAGCAGATCCCATGGGGCCTTTATGATCACACTCCCGAGCTGGACTTGCTTCCCCCTGCCTTGTGGATCAGGCTATTGTGCCGAAGGCTCCGAGTGGAGTTCCTTCAAGCGAACCTCCATGTACTTAACTGCCTTGTGGGTTAGACTATTGAGTCAAAGATGAGGTAGGGCACCTCGAACAAAACTCTTTCTCAGAACGGGTAGCTTGAGAGTATCATCTGCCCTCTCGACCTCTTCGACAATACTCCCACTTCTTATTCTTCTTTCCCCTGTCCACTGTCGCTTCTCCGTCAGTTTAGCAGCAGACTGCCGCTGACATTGCGGCTGCTGTCACCGATACATGTTGCTCGTCCATTAAACCAAGAGTCTCATTTCACATTGGTTCTTTTAACATTCGCACTCTAGGTCAGATCGGTCAGCAGGCAGCACTAACTCTCACTCTCTTGGTCATTGATGTGTGGTGTGTCTCCGAAACGCGAATCAAAGATAACAGCGTTGGGGCTAATGTAGCGTTTCCGTGTGGCTCTCTCCCACCCTTGCACTCCACGACCGATGCTTTCGTCCTGATTTGGACTCGTCAGGTAGAGATAGCCTGAGCTGAGAATGGAACTCTGCACAAAGTACTTAGCAATTATCACCATGACCACTAGACCATTGAGCTCCGCGAACAGTGCTTGACACAGAGGTCAGAAGTTAAATCTTGGGTTTTTGCAGTACCTGCCGTGTGTCTTGGATTGCGACCGGCAATTTCAATTGTGGCTTTGGATGACTTTGAAGTCAGTTTGTGCCGTTCCAATCACTGGGACCGTATCTGAAGTGGAGAGTTTCGGAGTGGCTCTCTTTCATTACCACTCTACCACTTACCGGTTTCGTCCTTATTTTTCTTTCTAAAACGGCTTGCGCTTTTGTTTATGTTTCCCTGTTTAGCTGGTCGCGTAAAGTTTATTCAACTTATGAAAGTTTCCTTATCTCATTCCCAGCAGCTACGGGATTCCAAACTTGTCTGTACTGAGCGTTAATCGTCTACTACAGAAACATTTTGGTCTTCCCGAGTCCCATTCGACAACTCGTGAGCTGGGTAAGCTTGGTTCTCTCACTACTTCTGACTTCGTTTCATAGTTCACTGTTGACTAAGTGGACCAATTAGTCCCGCAACACTTATCCAGGTACTCGTTCCTCAATGATCCAACGAGTACTGACTTGACATTCAAACATGCCATTTCGTTTACAAATTAAAAGTCACTTTTTGATAATAACATCTGATCTGCATATCGCCAATTGGATGCATTTCCCAAACGTTGGCGATGGCTGCATTTTCACTGAAGTCTCCACAGTGTTCTCTATTCTCCGATACCAGCGACCGCATGATAGAGCCTTTCAGGCCTTTTCGATTCTTTCACCCCTGCAGTTTGCGATTTCTTGGTGCATCCGTTGGGCTCAATGCAATGGAGTAAGATGAAGCCGGTGTTTTATGTTACGTTGAAAGGACTGTCTTAGTGGACAGATAAAACTAGTCACTAAACTACAGTCATGTCTACCCCAGTCACTCGAATGGGAATCGCAGCGTTTCATCCTGTACCAGTACTTGGTTCATGAGGCGATCTTTACTCGTTTGTGGTCACTTAGGTAACCATACCTCTACATTACATCAGTTCACACAGCGGCTCCATTAGGTTAAGTTGCTCAGCCCCATTCTATTTGTAGCGCTGAAACACCCGTCTGATACCTCAATCATATGAATTTCACAAACTAGTATATCAAGCTGCCTGTTGTCTGGTTTTAAGTTTCTGTATAGGTGATATCTTTCTGAAGCCTTAATTCGTTTAACCACAATGCGAGTTGTGTCTGACACTCACTTCCAAGCTATCAACAATGCCCTTCAGTAAAGCTGATCTAGAAGTATCAGGACTGACGAGGCGCAGTTGAGAACAGATGCACATAAATTGGAGGTTTGTTCTGTTGCATGGAATCGAACACCCTCCTAGCTTTTGTGAGATATCAATCCAATTACTCAGACAAGCGATTACAGATAATGCTGAGCAGCTGCTGCACTTTGTACTTGTTCGATTTGAACGTTATATTAAGCATTTCGAATTGGTTGATGGCTATCCAACCCCCTCTTCATCTTTTGTCGAATGGCTGGAAACCTCACAATTAGTTTATTCAGCCAAACTGAAAAAGCGAAACACTTGCATTTATTTCGAACCTAGAGTCGTGTTGGTAATCATATAGCATTTTTTCCAGTATGGTTAGTTTCGAAGCGACCCCAGTGATTCATTATTTTATCGACTGAATTCCTTTAACCAGTGATGGTCGATTATAAGGTCTCCGGGTGCCTACCAATCTCACTAGGTTGTTTGAAATAGCTTACACTTTACAATACAATGACGAAATTTCTTCTAGACTGCAGGCAACATTAGAAAGACGGATGATATGAAACGTTTGAACCTCCTTCCTTTTGATGAAATCGAACATCCTTGTAGGCTTACCTACTGTCGCATAAAGCATGGTTCGCAAAGAGTGATCCACGTTGGTAACTCACTTTTGTTATTTTTAAGTGAATGTAATGTGCAAACAAGTGTGAACTCTATCATTGAGTGCAGTGTCGCAAACGAAGAACGCCCATCATATTTCTGTGTGCATTGCTTTTTCTGTGTCCCCATCACATTGCATCTCGGCCTCTCCACACTTTACCCTGTAAATTACAGATATCACCAACGTCCGAATTGGTTTACCGTGTAGTTAGTGTTTTGCACTCTCTGAAGCAAATTCATACGCGTTTTACTCTGACATTTCAAAGATCCACGAGTCAGCCTATCGTTGGCTACTCGTCTTTCGAATAAGACGCTGTCCGAGGCAAGTTGAGGTCATACCGCATTTCCACGCGTCCTTAATCACCTTCTGCCCCGTCCACTCCACCGGGTGTTGTGTACCATGTGATCGTTTCCACGTGTGTAAGCACATCAGCCATTGCTGTCGTCAAATCTGTTTGCAGTGTAATGCATGTTGTGTTGCACTTTCCCTATTTACAGCACACCGGCATTTTTATTCACTGCCAACTTTATTTTGCTTACTCTAGATCGTTCAACTAAGCACGGCTATGCGTTTGCGGTCGCATGCTTATTTGACCTTGTTTGCATCTACTTCGGTTCCCAAATACCGAACATCTATGTGCAACATATCACGCATTTGAAAATTTCTTACTTTCCTTACATTCAACTCGATTATCTTTTACATGCACGTGCATTCTGAAACGATATCCCTACGTCTCTCCTTCCTCCCCCCCCCCCCGACTGCCCAGATCACTAAACTGTTCTGGAATTTCCAGTGTAACCGGGCATTGCATTCGAGAACTGCGTTGTGCTGTGTCCCACCAGAACCTATGACCAAAGTCCAGTTCCGCGTTCTTCTTCTCGTTGCCTCATGGTGAGTCTGCCAGCATACCACGTTCATACGTAAACCATTTGATTGATTCACCGTCAATGCTGATAATTCGTGAGTGTCTATCAAATGCACACTGCTTTTCTATTCAATGTTTGTTTCTATACCAGTTTAGGGTGTTTCGAAGCCCATGTGACAGAGTGCTCGTTGTGATCATCTCAATTAAGGCCAGAATTCGGATTGCGATATATAAGTTCCCCGCCCGTGTTGTCCGGTATTGAATTAGAACCAAACAACCAACTCTAACCGTTTTGTTTTGTTTTACATGTTTTATTTTTTTTATCCGATGCTAACGCAGCATCCTTGTGCTGTTCTTCTTTTTTGATGCCGTTCCGCTACAATGCGGCTGGATCCCGCGCTGAATATCATATGGCTTGAGCAGAAATCGGACTAATTGTTTTGCCATGCACGAAATTATCTGAGAGATGTGCTGTAAGATAAACATTGCCAAGCAGCTACCGGAATTTTCGCGTTGTTACATTACTCTTTTCGCTATATCTGCTATTGGGAATGAATCGCCAACAGTTTAATTCAAGTAAGTAACTATGATCCGGTCACCGAAGTGCTGCAAACCCGGTTGCCACGTCTCGTGTCGCCAGGATGACAATAGGAGGATATGAATTTGAGCGCAAACGGGGTATCAGTGAAGTTGTGTTAGGAATGAAATGCGTAAAGCTAATCGAAAGAGGATGAATATTAACAGCTAGATACAAGGAATCGAATACGGGAGCGCCACTGACTGTGTGCCTGCACCATACCTGATAAAATCTCAAACCACCGATGTGGACCATCTTGAGGTCCCCATTCACGGAGACGGCACTTTTCAGCCTAAGTTTCCCAGTCGATTTCTTCGTGTCTATGTACGTCACCTACTTGCCACCTGGGGGTTCCGCACAAATTAATGCAGCGACGGCGTATAATACACAACGAGGAAAGCTGTCGACGGGCACCCGGAGGATATGACCTATCCAACCTAATCGGTTGAGCTCAAGTAAACACTAGAATGGGGTACCAGAGGTTTCTCTGCATAACTAACTGGCAGATCTTAGCGTTGTTCACCAGGTTTTTCCACTAAATGGAAGTAAACTCCGCAAGTACCGGAGATTATACGCTGCCAAGTGTTAAATATCACCACTATTATCCTTCCGCTAACATCGACCTCATCGCAGCGTTATACATAATACGTTTCAATGACAGGCTGATATCCCGATGTCTCCATAGATGGTTGAACCACTTGAAAGCCATGCGGACCTTGCTGATACGCGAAGTGGCCTCCTCAGATGTGATGCCACCAGGCATGACAGCTAACAAGGTACATCAACGGATTCAATACTTGTAGAGATTGTAAGAATCGGTGGCTTTTATGACCAGTTCTGTAAGAATACTTTGCAATCTGAAGCTGCAAAGTACTTACACAAGCGTGAAACACTGCGTGTCAGTTTGTTCAATAGTCCTTGCATAGCTACTGAGTTAAACCCAAGGAGAGCTATGTCGTCCGCATCTTGAGGTTTTTCAGTCGTTCGCTTGGCGGAACTTCCACTACAGAAGATAATGAAAAAATGGAGGCATCAGCAGTACGCTAGTATGCAGTACCCTCGCTTCGCTGGCGCATAACCACCATCAGTCGCACGAGGGCTAAGGATATTTCGTGGGTTACCCGATCCCTACGCAGATTCGAAACCGCGCCCTCGCATTAGAATGCAGGCTTGTGATCCTTAAGGCTACGGGTCGGAATCACTTAATCACTCTTGGCCACTTCAAACGGAAATATAATACAACCGTAGCGGAACATCGTTACATTTCCATGAACTTAAGATGTCCCCAGTCGTAGACTGGTTTTTTCTTTGTTTTACACATGGACTGCCTTGTTACTGTTACCTTTGCTTCATTTGCCAAGAATTGGGCACAGGGGTCGTTGTTGATATCATCCAATGTATTACTTTCGGGAACTAATCTGAAATTCTTGGATGTTCGGTGCTGACTCGATGGAGCGCCTTCCTGGGACATACCCTTGCATCTTTTTAGCCGGTTAAAACCTTTCTAGCCTATCCGAGGTTCGAGTGATGTAGTCGAGAGCTTCCTTTGTTTGATCAACATCCGCTTAGCAATTCGTTCGTGTTAAACTTCTCATGAATCGTATCGCATCGACCGGACGAATAATTAATTACTTGCAATATATAACGATGTAAATTGTGAGGCCGTTTTGGTGGGAACGGCTCCTATCGTTTGTCTTGGTTTTTTAATTTATTGGGCTGATTCGCACGTCGTCTGTCAATTTTGTATGCTATCAGGATTAGGAAGTCAACTTATCACTACGGATTGCGATGTACTTAGTAGTCAAACTTTTATAACCAAAACTCCGACTGGCGACTTCTAAATGTGACTGCTGGATTTCGTTGCATGTTTTTGCGCTCTGCTGCTCATACCGTGTGCTATTTACAAACCTTTATTCTCCATCCCCATTCTCAACTCCTCACTTTTTAGTTCCTTCATTCCCAAAGTTACACGACGACATGCTCATTTTCATGTTCTTTTATTTTCCTAGTACCCTGCTCGCTCTGCTGTGTCTTTCATCTCGGCTTATAAGTCTTTCCAAAAGTAAGTATACCATGTTCGAATCCAGTACAAAGTGTATGATTTTAACTAACCGGTGTCAGAAGGCCGACGGTTGTTACTTTTTGACCCCAGCTGAGAAAAAACAATGCGATGGCACGAGCCCACATCTTCGGACCATCGCAATCAAAACTACATTTACTAGAATCCGTGTAAACATGAACGGTTGGGATTTATGCCTGACAAGTTGACTGCCACTTTCCTTGTGATGTTTTTACCTTATGTACTCTTTTGATTTCGGAAGTTTGCAGTCATGTACTTTCCGATCTTTCTCATATAAATGTGACGACGTATCAAAGACATATAGTTTGCCCACTACTTTCCTCAACTTCACTAGTTTAGTTCACCACTGTTATAACCGTTACCGCTTTTGATATGACGCCCTTGCTTGGATATTGCTTCCTAGTTAGATCGAAGCCGTCACAACGAGACTGGACCTTGAAGTGGTGTGACGGTTTTCTTACCGCCTTGGCCCATTGAGCTATACTGTATGGTGCCCCGGGACCACTGAGACTTACTCCTACCAGCTTTGTCAATGGTTAAAGTCAAACGAACGCAGTCTCCTGGTTTTCCAGCTTGGAGCTTTGGAATGGGACGACGTCCATTTCTGTACAACTAAATCATTGCCACCTCCCCGCTACCTTGCTTATAGGCTTCTGAGCGAAAGGATTTGGTTAAGGACCCTAATCATCCTCCTGTCTAGGTTTAGGTGACTTGGCAGTATCAGCCCACAGACAACCATGACTATTTCTTCAAACTTAAATCAAATCCTGCATGGGCCTTCGCGCAGATTATCAAGGGTCTCCTTATCTGCTGCATACAGCAAGGTGAATAAGCGAAAACATGCTACTTCTGGCGCCTCTCTTCTTTCTCTTCCATCTGTTTCTTACTCCCCACCCGACCTCCATTATTAACCTACCTACCATAGTTCCCAGCTTAATTAACAACTGTTGCAGTGCCACTGGAGTCATACCATCTGCAGCTCCCTTCACGCACCACCTACTGGACGCCTTATAAGGCCAAATGATGTTGGCTGGAACTTAGGGCGGAAGGGACCGCCGCGGGGCCGGTGGACGGGGCGCCAAGACACAAATGCTGAGCCCGCACGACTGATCCAGTCCAGCGCACAAGAAACAGTGTGGTTTTTGACATCCTAGAAGCAAATTGGTCCTCCTTGTGGCGAGCGGATGACGCCGCTATGTCAGGTAGCCAGCCGAGGAAGCTAATAAACTAATGGCTAATCAGATACCACCATGCAGTCTTCCCGAAACAGAAACGCCGAAGCTTGACGTAACCCTGGATTCAGCAAGCTCGGATCGGTTCAACTGAAAACGAGCGCGAACCAATTGGATGGAGATAGCGTCACAGGCCAGTTAAAAGGGGTCAGCCAATAAACGGACGGCAGCTGAATACTGTAAGTAGTCTATAAATAAAACCGCGATTCTTCATAATAATGATTTCTGATCGCCGCCCAGACTTTGTTCTTGTTTCCCGAAGTGCCATTCGACAAATCACGCTGTCCAGTTTCCCTGGCCACGTTCAACGTTTGCACAAATAGATCAACAGGCTGCACTCGCACGCACGTAGGGCACGTTGGGTATTGACGTGTGTCGTGTGTCCGAAACTGGGATTAATGACCCTCACGGGATTGTTGAATTAACTTCGCCCGGTTTGCCGTCTCGCTATTGGTTCCACTCATCCAGAGATGCTGATACGCCACTTACTTGTCATGCTGGGGTAGGTGTTGTTATCAGGTCCAAGACGAAGTCATTGTTGGTTGATTAGATTCCCCGTGAACGGCCGTTTGTGTGCTGTCCGTTTGAGGAAATCAAGTAAGGTTGCTTCACGAAGTAGCACTATATGCTGTTTGTTTGTGGCTTCCGCTTATACACCCACTGACTGCAGTTGTGATGCTGCTTACTGCATTCTAGGAGCAAATAAAAATTTGAATCTGTACAACTCCATCGAGGTATGCTCAAAAACGTTCACATAGCAAACTATGACTGATCGCTTTTCATGCTCTCACATGATATCGTTAAAAAAATCATTTAACTCACAAATGTGTGATGTCTATGGGCTCACGAAAACTAACGTTTAATTAATGCACATCCAACCATCGTTTGAACTGCTGCACTGAGTTTGCTTCCACCATACGTTCCGGCAAACCGTACCAGGCATTTACCATCCGCCATACCAAGCACAGCAATGAGGGACTCGCCTCATATCTGGAATCACGAGCTTGTATTGGTGTCCGCATGTGCTGCAAGGCCTTCGAAACTGGAGCAGTGGCTTTAGCTGGGGAAGTCGCGTACATGTAGAATCCGGTAGGCCATGAAGATGTCTACACGTGACCGACGGTATGCCAGGGTGAACAGCCCCCGTCTGTCGCACCTGTCCTCATACGGTTAGTCTCGCAAAATGGGGATGAGCCTAGTAGCGACGTGATAAACCCGTTCAATCTTCTGCGCCTCGCCGCCAGTGGTCTGGACTGGGCGGGCAAGCGTACTCTAGCCTTGATCTGATGATGGAAAGGAAGCGATGAGTGGAAACCTCTTTAGACCAGCTTCAGAAACTCTTTGAGTGCCCGGAGCATGCGCAGTCCGTTACGATACAGCATGTTCATGTTGTCAACGGACATCAAGTCGCAACGTGAGTATACTCCTAGGTCCTTCACAGGTGTGGGATCTAGCATTTGGCCGTCGGGTTTGTAGGCTGGGCCGTCACCACCTTTCTCCAGGCTCATGAATACCGACTTGGATGGCTTGACCAAGAGCCGGACTTCTGCAGACCACATGGAAGGGTGGTGTAGATCTTGTTTCAGTAAGCTGCAGTCGTCAGTTGTGTTTATCGTTCTCCACCTCTTCAGGTCGTCTGCAAACAGGACACACGGTGACCGAAAAAGCCGAGGTAGGTAGTTGATATAAATCAGGAACAATGTAAGCCCCAGCACCGTGCCTTCAGATACGCCACTGGTCGAACGATACCAATCGGTCAGGTGGCTATCGACTTGTACTGTCCACTTTCGCCAAACGAGTAAGTCTTGGATCCACTAATGCAGAGATCCTGCCGATTCCTATCTTTTTCTGTGTTCCATTCAACATGATCTCATCCAAATTTTGTGCAACGGATGTCGTAGTCTAAGATGGCCGGAGCAACGTATAACGTCTACCGATGCATATTGCGACCAAAACCGTTTAACTGTGAGCAGATCTAGATTTACCGTTGCGTCAACCAGCCTAGCGACCATCCAAGTTTCAACCCAGCCTTCCTCTTGTTCAACTCCCTCTTCCAAGGACGCCTTCTACCACCAACTGAATACGCTACTACACAGTGTTACCAGTTCAGACATCATAGTTCTTGCAAGGGATATGAATGCGCAACTAAGTCGTCTGAGCTCTTCAGAGGCTCAGCTAGGTGGTAAGTATGGACTTGACTCCGAATGTACGGACAACGGCGAGTGTCCGTATCGCCTTTCAGACTGGAGTCCACGTGGACCCACCTTGTACTTGGCTCGAAACTTTACAGGACTTTGCTCGCAGTCGACACCAGTGGCGCGTCTGCCTCCGTCTCCTAGTCGGACTGCCAGTTTAGCATTTGTTTGGTACTGAGTTATCTGCGGGGTAATGGTTGATGATGTCACAGGGCAGTGAAAGCCCCAAGGAAGCTGTGCCGTTGATGACACCTTATCTCTGCACCATAGCCGGCTGCTTGTGATGTTATGTTGTTGGCATTGGTGTAGGCGCTTTGACTCTGAGTGTTTGTTTAGGGCATTGAAGTATTCCGCTAAGTTCCCCTTTTCTCCCTCTTATTATTCTTCGTCCCGTAGGTCATCATGGTTGTATGGCAGTGGTATCTGTTCAAATGGCTGATGCACTACTTTTGTTGATGATGGTAATGAGTCGGACTGAACGACTCTTGTTGTCCGTTCTGCACACCTTAGGATGGTTGCTTGAATTGATATTGACATGACCTTGTGACTTAATCGTCCAAGGTTTTCCACCTTACTGTGCCGAGGTGAATGCGGACATAGCACATCTGCTGGTGTTCCTGAGATGGAAAAATACAGTGACTTCCAGCGGAAGCACTTTAGCCCTCTTGTCAAAGCCGACGAACCTCGTACTTTCAACACAATTATCCTTGTTATTGAATAGAGGTGTAGTTGCTACCTACTGATAGTAATGGGTGCGCGTCAGATTGAGTTGATTGCCACTCGATGGCGGTATCACGGAGAGGACCGCGAAGTATCTTTGGGTGCGAGTAGAAAGAATAGCTATCTGTTACCATCGACATTGTTAACAATTTGTGTGAACATTCCACAGCAGCAGCATGGCGAAATTAGTGATCAGGAAGTGCTATCCGGTGCAAAATTATTGTAGAACCATTTGGTTTCCACAACAACCATTGGAGTACAATGGAACCGGTTAACGTGCCTCCGCTCTACAATCTTCCCGGTTGTTTGAAGATGTCCTGTGGGGAACCAATGCGGTGTTTGCTGAGCAAGTAGCAGCTGACGGATGTAGCGCGATTTCAAGCGCACGGCTAATACATTGACCACGACGCAGTTTCCCGTCCTGTCCATTCTGTTCGCAAAGGATCACTGCACTGGGACGATTTATCCTTTGATAGTTCACATGTCTACCGATTCGCTGCTTGTGCACCTTGGGGCATCATACATGCGTTCTCGATGGGATAGATGCGCTGGCACGCAATATTCATTGGTGTATGAACCTTTCTTTGCGGCTAGTTTGGGATCATTTTCACTCATCTTTTGGATACTCAGCGTTACTCACGCGTTTGCTGATACCCCGTGAGCATGAATGATAACGCAATCTTTTTGGTGTGTGCAGATAGCGATGCTCCCTTATACGACCGTCCACGTAGCCTCCGTACGTAATCCACTCCACATACCATCAGTGTTAGGTGATTGGTGGTACATTTTTTCAAACCTCGATTAGAGCACTATATGCATTGCAACTGCATATTCA